ATACTTATATTACACGAGGAGAAACATTGTTTTCCTGACATGTTACGAAGTCTAGATTGTATACACTGGGAGTAGAAAATTTATCCAGTTGGATGGCAAGGCTCGTACACTCGAGGGGGGGGGGCATGGGGTACCCACGATTATACTTGAAGCAATGGCATCACAAGACTTATGGATCTGGCACGTATTTTTTGGGCTCACGGGATCACAAAATGATATTCTTGTTTAAAAGAATTCTGATATTCTTGTACGAAAAAAAGTAAGTTTTAAATAATTTGTGACTTATTTAAGGTAAATTAATAAAAATTAGTGTCGTATTCAATTATATTGATTGTTGTTATGTACTTTTTTTAATAGACATATCAGTTAATGTATGCTTTCGGAAATTGGAAAACCAAGTAAATATGCATATCACTTGAAAAAACTAAAATTAAATTAAGAAACCCATGTATACTAGAATTTTTGTTTGTATATTTTGAAAGAATATCAATGATGTTGTACCAAAAAAATGAGAGACTCCATAACAAATAGATAAGCTTTCCATTTGATAAATCCAATTATATTGGTATACTAAATAACAACCTTAATCGGATAACGCTACAAAATCTATGATTTCAAAATCTATATCTATATAAAAATCCAACCTATTTACCAAAAATAGTAACAAGAAAAGTCAACACACATTTAATGCATATCATATTCGGAAATTATTTATTATATGCATTAATTGCTTGCATATATACATTTCCTATCCATATATAATTTTAAAGATTCTTTTCATAAATAATTTTATTAACTTCTGCAATGATTTTACAGATATCCATTATAATTAATATTAGTACAGAGCCCGTGCGATGCACGGGGTGCACAATTTTAAGGCCATTTATCCAGCCTTATAATTATATAAATGAATAAAGTAAAATATACAGAATATATATAGTACGTGACCTGTGCGAAGCACGGGATATATTTATTTGGTGATTATTATACTATAAGATGCAATATTCAATAAAAGTTTTACAATACACAAAAATAAATATAAATAATGTAAATATCTAAATACATACACGATTTGTGGAATAAATAAACCAAATTGCAAATCTGAAAATATAATTTAAAAAAAAAAAATCGAAAATATATTTCAGTAAATATGTACAAAAATATCTAAATACATACACGAAAAAAAAAAAAATATATGTTTCAAATTTCGAAATTAAAACAAAAAATTCAAATAATTTGGCTTATAGTTTTATCATGCAGAACCAACTCGAGATATGATTTGTATGTGCTGCCCCAGTCTTGGAATAACATTTCCACAATTCGAACTTTGAGCATAGGTCTATTAGACTTGTTTGATTAACCCAAATTCTTGATTCATTATTTTGAGTAAAAGACTGATTGGAGATATTTTTTGTTCGCAGGAGGTAGATAGTGAGGAAGATGATGGCTCGATATTTTGAGATTTGTAATTTATAATGGGTAGAGTATATATTGTTGTTATTATTTTATTAGAAAATCTAAATTTGAATATACAGAAATCGGTTTGAACAAAATCAGAACTGATTTCTATACAATTAGATAATAATTAAAGTCTTTTTTTATTTTATTAAAGATTTTACGTACCTTTTTTACTTATCGCATGTTATGGGGTTTTTTTTTTTTTTGGTAAACCGATTTTATGGGATATAATATAAATACAATTAGAGAATTGAACAAAATCAGAATAGATTTCCATACAATTAGATAATAAAAAGTAATTAGATAAAGAAAAGAATGAATTAAATAAGGAATTTTGAATTTTCCTTTTTTTAGTATAGATAGACTTTACGTACAAATTTTGACTTCACCGATTTTATGGGATTTGTTTTGACAAAATCGATGTTAATATGGAATAAGACAAATAAATAAAGTCTTTTTTATTTTAGTAAAGATTTTACGTCCTTTTTTTTACTTATCAGATGTTATGAGATTTTTTTTCTTAAACCGATTTTATGGGATGTAAGACAAATAAATAAAATAATTAAATAAAATTTTGGATAGAAATAACTATGCATTAATTACGTTGACTTTTTAACCTACTAAATTTGGTAAATATGATACCTTATTATATAAGTATAGATTTTGATTGTTTTTGCTCACCCGATTTTATGGAATTTTTTATGTCAAGATAAGAAGAATTAAGAATTAGAAGTTCAGCATAAATTTATAAGAAGAATTTTTTATGGGATTTACGTACATAATTTTTTATGTTAAGATTTATAAGAAGGATTTTTTATGTCAGCATAAATTATAAATGTATTAATTACTACTCGATAAAATTAGAAGTTCATTAATTAAATTTGACTTTTCTACTTACTATATTTAGTAAATAGGATCCCCTTTAATATAAGTATAGATTTGTGGATTATATGTTTTAACCTTTATTTAATTATATGAAACTAATAATTTTTTTAAAATTAATATTATTTTTCATTTAAGAGATAATGATCACATCATTAAATGATTATATTGATGGCTAGAAAATTAAATTAAAATATATTAGTTATTCTTTAAAATTTTGACATGTTATTTATATGTATATTATTGTCAACCATGATAATGTTTTTATCATTTTTTGTTTTATTTTGTTTTGATCTGTTTCTATAATGAACTTACTGTAAAAAAAAAATTTTATTGCATAGTATGTTAAATAAACTATAAAGCATTAGAATCAATATTAGAAAAAATCTCTTGATTATGTAATGGATTTATTTGTTGGCAATTGCTAAATCAATTGTTTTAAAATTATTATGACAAAATTAAATCCTAAAAAACATGTGTTTGTATTTCACTATTTTATAAACATTTATACACAAAATTTTATTTTGAATTTCATTACATAAAGAAGACTACTTATGTAACTTTTATAACTAATAATAATGACATTATACGACTATAAATTTTATAATAAAATAATAATTGAGTATTATATGGTGAACAAGAATAAATAAAATTTTTATTTTTTCTTATCAATGAATAAATATGTATTCTAAAATCATATTTATATTAGTATAACGTGTTAGCGGAATAATATATTAATTAACATGTTAATTTTCTGGCTAAAATAAACGTCACTTATTAAAAGATGTGAAATATCGTTGATCCAAACCTATTATTTTTTTTTGCCTAAACGTACAAGTTCTATGGAAATGATTGACTTATTATATGTATCACATGCATCGCACGAGCTATGCACTAGTATTTCATTAATGATACAACTTATCATTATTAATGCTTATAAAGACTTGTCCAAAATTACTATAAATACGGTGTAGTTAATGCACGGCTGGAAAAGATTTCTAAAATTGATTTTTCTTTTTCCAAATTTGATTTAAGGTAATTTTTATTATATATAAATAGATTTAAAATAATCATTTCGAACATCAATTTGACTTCCATAATTGTAACAATGACATGCGCCCATGCTCCCACAACAAAGTATCGGGTGCTCCTGCTGTTGCATCCCATACTATTTGTAACTATAAATAATGAGATCGGATTAAGACTCGTTAAAAACTTTCAACAAAATCTGTGAGATGGATCTAACCCAAAACCTTATTTTGCTTCAACTTTCATCGATGTTTCTGAATAATCCCAACTTCTTACAAAATGCATGGACTCCGTAATACACACACCGTAATTCGAAATCAAAATCTGAGCAAGACAATAATCAAACTTCAAATTCACCTGAACAACAATCGTACGCGCAACCAACTGAAGAAAATTCTTATCCTGTACATAAATCAACCAAGTGAGATCACACTCCACAAATTACCAACAATTTTAACGAGAGAACTACCAGTCGAACCTTTGCACACACAATAACATTCACCACCGTAACACCTAAGGACAAAATCTTCATCACCTAAAAAAAAAATTACCATAAAAATAAAAACTGCAAGTACAAAACACTCCAGCGCTAGATGGGGAAAGCTGATTTCTGATAAAGTTAGCCCCATTTCTAAAAACTTTCACATGCACGGCCCTACTTTCCAGCTGTTAGCCTCACATGCTGGTCCAAAGTCTCCTTGAGTAGCTACAGCTATAGTTACAAGTTCTCTAATTTAGGAGCCGATTTTTGTGATGTCCCTGCTCGAGCGGTTGTACTTCATGTGGCTCTTGACGAGCTGCCCGGCTGCAATGGCTGACATAAGAGAGAGCTCGCCAGCCAATACTGACCCGGCAACTATGGTGGCCAGGAGCTGTGAGTTTGAGCCTGGCGACTCTTTGTTTGCACCCTTTACACCGAGCAGGTTTAGGCAAGCAGATTGCGATGCCAACTGGGTACCACCTCCAACGGTGCCAACCTGTTATGTCACAATGTCTGGCTTCAGAAGATGACTCAAGGCACAGAGTAATTATTCCAACACAAAATATTGCATGCCCTTGGCTTAATAATTATGCGTGCAAATTATTTCAGAAAAAAAAATAAAAAAAAAATAATCAAGCTTTTAATATTAATAAAAAATGAAATTTGCAGATATGGCACTTTTTCACTTTCTAATTTCAAAAATTGCCCCTTTTTGCCATAACTGTTTTTCGTTGCTTTCTTTAATCATAATAGACAAAAGTGGTGCAGATCTCAATTACTTCAAAATGACACTTCTTTCTATTTTTACAAATTACAAGGTTTTTTTTATATTTATTTTATTTCGGTACCTCAATGGACGGCATGGTGACAGAAACGTGGAGGTCCTTGCCACCATTGACAGCCTCCATCATGGTTATACAGTGAGAGCTTTCAATGTTTTGAGCTGGATCCTGCCCTGTGGCTATGAAAATTGCAGAGACTATGTTGGCAGCATGAGCGTTGAATCCACCAAGGGCCCCGGCTATGGCAGACCCCGTAAGGTTCTTGAGCATGTTAAGCTCGACGAGAGCTGGCACAGTGGTTTTCAACACCTTCGCGACCACATCCCCAGATATAATGGCTTCGCACACGACGGACTTCCCGCGGCCCTCAATCCAGTTGACGGCAGCTGGTTTCTTGTCTGAACAGAAATTCCCTGCACCAAATCACACAAATAAAAAGACAAAGTAGAAGGATTATATGGTGAACATAATGGATATCCGTTTAAGAGCTAAGAGCTTAAAAAAGGTAGGTGAGGTGCTGACCTGAAATGCCGATTACATCCATATCAGGGAAATCGTTCTGGAGGAAATCTAACACATTTTGGACACCTTTGGAAACCATGTTCATACCCATGGCATCACCTGTGCTGCAACTAAATCTGATGTATAGATTCTTGCCTGCAACTGCACATTGAACACTTTGCAGTCTTGCAAATCTACTTGACCTGTGGAAATATTATAAGATGGAAACACATACAAGGTTGTTGATGAAAGAAGTTCCATAATCTGAGGTAGAATACAGCAACCGGTTGAGAGTAGAGTCTAATAAACAAATATAGTCGGTAAATTAGTACCACCTGTCAAACTCAAGGAATTTTTAGGAGATGCTATATGTTCTTAAAACCAAAAAGTTCCAAACTTATTATTTGCTCCATAGCAAATAAAAAAGCAAATTTGCGGTAGTACTTATAATGGTTACCATTCGACTTAAATCATCGATCCGTCAAGTTTCTCCTCATTAACTCAATGTTAACAGAGAATGCAAATATTGACGAACTTCTTGTTACGTAAACATGGTGTCCACAGCACACAAACTGATTGCATATCAATGAGACATAGAATATGATTAACAACAAGGAAATTCATCATGTAACGTAGGAGTACATTTTTCTCAAAACCACCTTTACAGTGAGAATAACCAGACAGATCCTTCCATACAAAACATGCAAATAATCAAGCACCACAACATACCAATCCAATAGCACAATCAGCATCAGCACTTCTCCAACCATTACATAATAGACAAAGATACAAAACAAATCCACAAACCGTAAAAGACCAACCATCACACTCATGCAAAACATAAATTAATAAGCTTATCAAAGAGAAGATTCTTACTTGTTGAAAACAACAGACAAGGTGTCGAAATTCACAGGATCCTCCAAGAAGAACTTCAAATCTGCTGCTCTCTTGGCCGAGGAGAATCTCACCACCGGAGCTCGTGTCATCCCATCCCGCAAAAGCACACACGTGGCCCCACCGGAGGCATAGATTGCCTTGCAGCCCCTGTTCGTGCTAGCCACCAGGCACCCTTCCGTGGTGGCCATGGGCACCGAGTACTCGCACCCGTTCAGCAGCAGTGGGCCTGCAATCCCCACCGGGATCTGCACGTACCCCACTGGCATCTCACAGCACTGCCCCAAAATCGACTCGTAATCAAACCCTTCCAGAGGCAACCCCTCCATGGACCTCCCCGTCAGCCTCTGCACCGCCTCCCGCCGGATACGGGCCGCCTTGAAGCAGTCCCCAAGCCGGGATTCGAGCGAATATGATGGGACCTCTCCGGAGACGACCAGGTTGACGAGGTCCTCGTCGTCCTTCGGTAGGTCCATGTGCGTGGGCTTGGCGGCGGCTGAGGTCGGCATCGAGCAGTGGATGTAGCGGTCCTCGTGGACTTCAAATCGCGGATGGGTCTCGTCTTCGCCCTCAGATCTGGAGACGAAGGACTGGACGAAATCGATCCCGAAGAACCCTAGGAGGTAGATGAAGGATGCAATTAGGGTGATAATGGCGGCGAGCTCGGAGAGGGTGAGGACGTGCAGGGGTACGGATGCCCGGATCTTCTCGCGCCAACGGTGGAGGAGGAAGTAGGCGACGGAGAAGAAGAGCGTGAAGAAGACGCCGTTGGTTAGGTACAGGGGGAGGGGCAGAGCGTCGGAGGCTTTCGGCGAGTGTAAGGACGAAGCAGCGCCGGAGGCCGGAGGAGGAGAAGGCGGCGGGTGAGGGAACGAGGGCGGCGGCGTCGTGCGCAGGGATGATGGCTTGGGGGGCCTCCGGCGAATGTCCATATCGAAGGGGGGAATCTGGGGGCGGATATATGGAGAGGGATCGGGGACACGAAATTAAAAGGGATGTACTAAAATAGTGAGTGTCTCCGGCGGCGACGGCGGAGGAGGAGGGCGGTTATGGGTTAGTTTGTGTGTGTAATTTTTTTACCCTTTTTTAGTGGTCTGGAGCAAGGGGAGAGAGAGAGAGAGAGAGAGAGAGAGAGAGAGAGAGAGAGCTCGCCATGTGCCGTGCCCGTTTCCTCGTCACTTCCCATCTTCTTGTTACCCCTAGTAACAAATCTCGATTTAGTGGTAGGGAAAATTTGCAAAAAATATGAACAATTTTTGTGTTAATATAATAAAATGATGGTCGTGTTTTTTTTTTTTTTCACATTCTTTTTAGTTACTAATTTTAAAATGAAGATATCTATCCAAGAGCGCT